CATTATTGGAAACATTTTTCAAACTCATCTGTTTGGATGACTGACAGCATCACCCTCATTTTTTTTTCTTCACCTCCTCTGTATTGTCAATTTGCTGTCTTTTCATGTTCTTCATTTGTAGAAAAAAAGAAGTCAGGCAGAGCGAGGTCAGGTGATTAAGGTGCTTGTGGCATGAGGGGCATGTTTTTTTTGGCCAAAAAACTGGTGTACTAAGGTGGCTGCATGAGCAGGTGCATTATCTTGGTGGCAAAACTTGTCCCCCATCTGCCAAAAATCAGGCCTTTTTTGTATGCACTGTTACGCAATCTTTTCAGAACTTCTAAATAGAAAGCTTGATTAACAGCCTCACCTGGTGGAAAGAAATCCAAATGCACTATCCCCCTCACATAAAAAAAAAACCCAAAAACCCAAATGAGTAGCCATTTGATCTTTGATTTCACTTGATGTGGTTTTTTTGTGTTTTTTTTTTTTTTACTTGACACATCTTCCACTGGCTTGCTTAATATTTGCTTTCAGGGTCATAAGAATAGCACCATGTCTGGACACCAGTAATGATCTTGGGGAAAAAGTCGGGGTCGCTTCATAGCTGTCCTTTCAAAGCATGGCATGTTTCCACTCAATGGCCTTTTTCCTGGTCCAGTCAGAACCCAAGGCAAAAATTTTGCAATGACCCTTTTAATTCCGAAATTTTCCATTTTAATTCGCCGACACGCTCCAAGATAAGTTCTCCATCTCTTCAGTGGTCCGTCGTCAGTCTTCCAGCATAAGTGCAAGAATTTTGTTGGCATTTTCATCTGTTTGGGAATTTGATGGACATCCAGAATGAGGTTTGTCATCAATCAGCATTTCACCTTTTTTTGAATGAGAAAACGACTTGTACACTTGAGTATTTCACATACCACTGTTCTTGTAAGCTGTGTTCAACATCAGCACAGTTTCTGAGGCATTTTTCCCTGAGCAGAAAACAAAATTTCACAGCCACACCCTGTGCTCTTGCATTGGCCATCCCAAAAACTGAGTTCCTAGCAAAACTGCTTTTACAAAACAATTCACTGTGACCAGAAAGACCCTTCCTAGGCGATGCCACTTGGTGTACCAACTCAGAGCGCATTGCTTGATGCTCTCCTAGCTGGGGCACTGGGGTGGTGAGAGGGATGCATACTATGAAAGACTGCTCAGTGGATCTTCAAATCGTTTATGGAAAAATGGAAAAATTCCATTATCTTTCAATTTTTTTTTCCACAAGATTTTTGAAGTCCGTATCATATGAGTGATCCTCACCCCCTGCTTCTGAATTTATTAGCTTTTCCCTTTAAGCATTTATAGAGCATTTGCTAATCTGATTTTTAGTCTGGAAAAGTAGAGGAAAATATAGTTTTGTCCTAATAATGGTGAGACGTGATAGCTACTAAACTGAAAATAACGTTTAGACTCAAACTAACGGAAAAAGGACCCACTTTGGAACCATGGGGGCAACACGGGTGAATGGGAGGGCAGCATGGGATGATATTTTGAGAGGCAGCCATGGAGAGAATGGAAAGATGATCTATTTTATAACAGCCCCCAAAGCATCAAATGGAGCATGTTGCTTAAAAAGACCCATTTTCACAACATCTGCATTCAGAACAGAGGTTTGGGTTCTTTGTTTTTACATGTCAATCCTATATGCTTCAGGGAAATGGGTTGCAGGATAGTTTGTCAAAAAAAATATTTGTGTTTGAAATACTTCGTGCTCAAGACGTATTCAATATTTATCCATATATTTGAAACAGGTTCTATCTAATATCCTTACGGTAGCCTTGTTTGGGAGATGTGACCGAGACACCCTTCATCTCCTGCTGACCTTCCGCGAAGGTGAAGCAGCTCTTTCAGCAGTGAAGGAATTGTGTGCCTTGTCTGGACCAGACGTGTATTCTCTGATTGTGTTAATGAGCCAAAATCTGAACCTGCGGAATTTCTTCTACAAAGTAAGTAGAAAGCCAAATGGTCAGGGCACGCATGGGTGGGAGAGATTGTCTGCGAGGGGTCAGTCTCCCTTCGGCTGTGTGCCAGTCTTCTGTGAGTTTACCTGGGAAAGTGGGACAAACGTGAATGCCTGCTCTTCAGCTGCCCACGTTAACTGCTGACCTCTGAACTGGGAGGTGCTCTTTCTCTGCCCTGAATTGTGACTTAATTAATTTTAAGAATGAGTCCACTGCAAACCCATAGGGAGGTTAAATGCCCCCATATTGGGGGCATTTTCTCTCTGAGGAGCTCTGTTGGCACAGTGGTTACGGGATGGGTTACTCACTGCAAGGTCCGTTTACTCCTGTAAACAGTTTCTGTCTCAGAAACTTGCAGGGGCAGTTCTACCCTGCCCTAAAGGGCCACTAGAGTTGGCATCAACTCGATGGCAGTGACATTGGTTTTAGGTTTCAGTAGAATTAATGCTTGACGCTCATGTACAGAGCAATGGTATTTGTTCATTACTTCACCCCTGCTTTCCAACTTTATAATGTCCTTTGAGACCTGCCAGGAATCACACCTGCCAGAAATGGGGCACAGGTCCACTGACGAGTCATATCTCCCTTAGTGGCCATTCCATTAATGTTTTCTCATATTTTTAATGTTTTATTTTGAATTGGGAGAAGATTCGCAGAACAAATGGTTTTCCGTTTGACAATTCATTCTCATTTGGTTGTTTTCTCATTGAGTGCCATCTCCAGAACGTAGACAACACCTCTCACCTCACTTCCTCTGTGAGTTTCTCACTGCACTCCTCTTCCAGCTGTGTCATTGGGAAAATGCAACTCTTTTGAACTGAAATAGTTGATTGTCCTAAGGAATGTGTACCTCTGAGTCTTACTGTCCACCTTATAGATGTGAGTATTGTTTGTCTAAAAATTGAGTAATGCGGATGAGTTTAGTTTCAGGCGTGGAGAGTGACAAAGATCCAAAGTTGTGGTTTGGGGGATTCCACTAGTCTCTGACCTATGGGTAGCCTGTGGTTTTTGTTTTTAAACTATCATTTCGAGCCTTGTTCCATATTTTTCTCCCACTCTATTCAGTACTTTTAACGTGATTCCTTTCTGAGAATTGGGAACTTATCTTAGGTCATGAAAAGTGGTCATTCTGTTATGTGCACTATGTTTGGCCAGAAATTTGAAATTCATACTTCTAAGGGTCCAAATAGGAGCTTTTAGCAAAGTCAGCAGTTTGAAACTAACAGCCATTCTGAGGAAGAAAGAGGAGGATTTGTGCTCCCAGAAGGATTTCAGCTTGGAAACCCACAGGGGCAGCAGTGCTTTATCCTGTAGGGTAGCCATGAGTCCAGAACCAACGTGATTGCAGGGAGCTTTTATTGTTGTTGTTTGGAAAGGGCTCAAATAATTCTGTTAATAACCCTCATTCTTTCCAAGATATCACAGTGGGATGAAATATTATGCTGAATTCATTCTCCCACCCATATATAAAAGTAATAGAAGCCTCAGCAACAAGAGATCTGAATGCTTAGATTCTTTCTAGATGTGTGGCTCTGTGAAACTTGATCAATGCATGCTATTGTTCAGGGATGGTGAAACATTCCAAAATTCACACTCTGATAGGCATTGGAGGCAAGATTCATTTGTAGCTGCACTCAACCCAAAGTGCATCTGCCTTTTGTTCTACTTGGCTGTCTCTTTGCCATAACCATGAGTACCGAAGCTTGTGGCAAAACATCATTTGCTATATTAATATGATATGTTTTTCTACTCTGGCAGGGATAGAGCTGAATTCCAGTCATTGTCAACAATAAGCAAGGGGTCTCTTTGCATTTTTTTTCTAAAGTGAGGCTGTAATTAGAAAGGAAGGTAGGCAGTGATATAAACCTCTATAACATTTCTATTACTGATAGATATCAGATTCTATCTGATAGAATCTTATTATTATTAAATGAGTACATCTGAGCAAGATGGTTCTCTGTTCTCTGGGGCTCTGTGGTTCAGCTACAGGGTCAGCAGCTGAATATTAATGAGACAAAAGAAAAATCAGTGACAAACTGGATCTTTGGCCCGAGTCTGAAAATCTGAAAATTCAATATGCAAATGTCATACAAAATGAAGAGATTTACTGTGATTTTTACCTGTCTGTGGAAAGAGTTTTTGGAAAAGTATCCATTCGTTCAACAAATGCTTACTAAGCAACTAATATTGGCTTGGTTGTGTTCTTTGTAACTGTATAAATAATTAAAACAGACAAACGTTGTTTTCACAGACTTTGTATTTTAAAACAAAGAATACACCAGGGAAACTAAAATATACAGTGTTTGGTGGTGATAGCACTAAGAAGGTTGCAAAAGCACAGTTTGTTTTTTCCTCCTAT